GTGGTCTGAAATGGGAAAACGTTACGTCCGAGCCGAAGAGGTCTATTGGCGAGCAAGAAATTAAAAACATCGTAGTAAAATAACATGTACTTAGGAGATTTTGTGACTTCCCTTGCGTTTTTGTATGAGCGTTCAAATATTGGTATTTTAAACAAAATAATTGGCGCACTACAGGGGACTGGCAAAAATTGCTTGTGAGTGACGTAGCTTAATGAACGTTGATTGCTGAACTGCTCGATAAGGACATCTTTTGATTTGAAGTTGAATACTGAAGAAGGTTAAAGAAAAGAAAATTATGTCCAACAGTCAAAACGATTGCGAATGTAACTTTATTCAGTTACACATCTTATAAGAATATATAAGAATAACTAGATGACATTTTTTTTTTCAGTATTTTTATTAACATCTATAAAATATTTGAGATATAAAACGCGCGCGCTGATTGGCTGGCTACCTTGTTTATATCAGAGCACACATACGTGCTTGCGTGCAAAATTGTTTTAAAATATTTTATAACGGCTGCTTATGCATTCGTATTTTGATAGAAACACGGGGAGCTGTATAGCACTTGAAAAGCAAAAAGAAACACCCTGCTACGGCTCGTGTGAGTAAAAGTTACGACGGTCGGCTACGAACGAACTTTCGGCTACGCCTCGTGTTCCTAAGCTTGCTTCTCTCGTACTCTATGAATAGATTACCGCTTGCCGTCACTAGGCTCAGCCATGACTCAGCTACCGCTGACCAGTGAGTGCTAGGTCGGCCATCTTGGATTATGTGTTTTGCTCACACTTAAGTAACAGGACTCTTTTCAATGTTAAGTAAGTCTCCTGTAATTTTAATCGATTATCATTTATTACCGTTCACTTTTTAGCATTATATCCAATTGTATTTCATAGGACTTGACATCGTCCTTACTAAAATACTAATTACGATCGAGGAGTTCTCTTCACTCTACACCTCCCATGAGACATGCGCGTGCGTTTTATAATCCTTAAAGGGCAACTTACCCCCCAAAATGACCCATTTTTAAGAGAAAGTACATCAAATGAGAAACACAAAAATTCAATTTTTAGAGGGGATAGAGCATCCGTGTTCCTAAAAAAATAATTTCAAAACATYGCATATATCGCTCTGGTGGCCGCCATCTTTGAGCCCGCGATAAATTACCGCATTCAGGGGTGACGTCACAACGTCAACGTGTGTTTGGATATGTAGAGTTTTTCTGTAAGCATGAGAGTTTGAAGTGGCTTTTTCGACAAAATGGTTAATTGTTGCGTGCCTGAATGCACTAACTATTCGACAAAAACAAAAGATGTTAGCTATCACAAGATTCCTAAAGATTTRCAAATTCAGAAAGCTTGGATTTCTCGTCTAAGACGAGCAAATCTGCCGCCATTGAAGAATTGCTATGTATGTAGCGAGCACTTCGAGGATGGTTGCTTCGAATCCGACCTTATGGAGCAACTAATAGGCGAAAAAAGAAAAAGAAGGTTAAAGGCTGATGCAATTCCAAGTATTTTTAACTTTTCAACCATCCCTAGTAAAAGAAGAGCTACGACAGAAAACCGTATAAGACGACAACGACAAAAAGAGGTAGGTGATTTGTAGTTCGTGTTCGCACGTGCACTGCTAGATTGTCAGTGTAATATGTAAGTCTTATATATATATTAGAGCTATTTCGTGACTGGTCTGTGACTGTGCTCAGACCAAACCAATGCATTAAATTCTTAATACTAAGTTTACCGCTGCGGGTTTAGTTATGATGAATTGCGGATGAATAAGTTATACGCTCTT